TTCTACATTACCAAATATGGTATGGATTAATTGCCTAATTTCGACTAGAATTATTTTACCGATCAATCAAGATTAAAAATTGTTACATTTGAAGAGATGTAAAATATTGTAAGTTTTCATTTAGGTATAGCTTTATGTGGATTGTTGTTTATTAAAGTTAAGTGAAAATGGCAAAACTCCAAAAAACATAAATTTATTTATCAATACACAAAAAGGAAAAAATTATGGGCAGGAGATTATCAGGAGTCATAACCAAAAATAGATAACTAATTTCCAAATGCGGTAATTTGGTTGATAAACTTTAACACCAAGATTTTTTTTCTATTTTATTAATAACCTTTCCTAATTTTTTTCTAAAAGAAGGAACAAGTCTTGAAAAATCTGTGTCTCAAATTTGGTGGAGATTGGTGAGCAAAAAAGGGTTAAAATTAAGGTTTGTGGCTAATTTTATTAATAGAATTTCGACATTGATCACCAAAAAAATTTGGAAAATACACTTCCCAATCATTTAATGTGACACATCATTCAACTATTACATTGTCTATATTGGCTCACTGATAACACAAATTATATGTCAGGATCCAAGAATGGTGCTGTTGTTAATTTCAACAAAAGATTTGGAGCAAATGCAAGCAGGATTCCATGTGGCCTGCATGTTGTTCATATTGCAGCAACAGCTTTTGACAATACAACCTTTGGGAAAATCAATTCTCCCTCAGGTCTTTCCTTGAATCCCCATCCATTTAATGTAATAAATCTTGCCTATCATCTTCATAGTGGATACAATGAGTCCAATAAAGATAATCCATTGAATATGAAGAATGAAACTATAAAGAAATTATATAAGACATTATTGAATGAAGATTTCAACAAATATCAAAAACCACACACAAATCATTGGTTATATCTATTAATAGCAGCAAGACAGTACCTTGAACAATGTGAAATCCATCTTAAATTTACTCAATGGTTTGTTCAAGAGTTAGAATGCTCAAGGAATGTTCCTGAGGGATATCTTCATAAATGGAAAACATTCCTAGAATTCCTACTGAATGAAAAGTTGAATATAGAAATATTAATAATGGTTAAATTTGGGGAATGGTTCTATGAAAGAATAATAAATTTTTTAATTGGTTCTGATAAACATCCTTATATTATTCAAGGAACTTCTAGTAAACCTCTACCAAATGGATATCGTGCTCATCAGATGCCTGAAATGGTAGAGATTTGGATTGATGAATTAAAAAATGCTTTACAGAGTCCTGATGAAATTTTTATAAAGGAATTGCAGACAGCCCGTGACCTATTAAATGAGCAAGAATTTCTAAATTTGGCAGATAAAGTACAATTAGGTATTGAAAAAGCTTTTGAAGCATTCAAAAAGTGGATGATTACTTGGACTCACCTTCCGTTTTGTATATGTAGTCTTGGAGGAGAGAGTGGTCCTGAATTTGCTCAAGCTGTTAACCATATAGTATTATCTTATCCTCTACCTGATGAACCTACTACAAGATTAAAAAAATATGTAAAACAGTTAAAAAAAATTTAGAAGAAGGAAGAAGTGATTCTTTTGGATTATTGAAGCATTGGAGCAATATGAGTTTAGAGAGCAATTTGTTGCATTTTCGAAAGCTGATTACACCCAAATGCAAAGATTTCCATTAATATATGAATTTGTTAAACATCGAATTTGGTCAATTATAGTCCATCAACAACATATTGAAGGAATGTTCAACAAATATGATATCAAAACTCACCCTAACATGAGTGAATCGTTACAGGAAGCCAGGCTCCAACTTTCAAGTCCTACCCCATTAGATTTTGAAATCACTAAAGAAAAATTAACAGCAATTCGAATGAAAAGACGAAAGGAAACTTCTTTATCCACAGATCTTGCTGTTGGGGAAGAAGCAGCTAAAAAATTAGCACAGAGTTTTTTAATACCCAGAAGAAATTAACCAATATTTTTCGCTACCTTTAAATCATATTTTATTTATATATTTATTTATTTATTTATTTATTTTATTTATTTTATTTATTAACGTTAAGCATTTCTTCAAAAGGAAAAGATTTTCGAAGAAAAAAAGATCAAAAATTTTTTATTAATAAAATCGCACAACTTTGAATTCTTATAAATCCTTGTTCTACTAATAATTTTTAAAAAAACTCTCT